AAAATACCTATCATAAGCGCGGTGCGACATCTAAAACTTTCCGCCGCCATTTTATTTTTTTATAGAACATTTTTTGGCTCAATCTGTTTGAAAAGTTCACTGTATTTTAACGGGAGTACAAAGAAAATTCAGTAAAATTTTCGAACAGATTCGTTGAGCAATTTCTGTGTCAAAACATGAAATGGCGGCGGAAATTTTTAAACGTCGCATGGCGCTTGTGACACTTTGGCCGGAAGGTGACGAAATTATGAACCATACACTATTCAGTATTCTGCATGACGAAAGTGAATACTCATTTGCTGAGGCACAATGGTCACCTGACTGTTTCTGTGATTATGACCCCCCCCCCTCCCAACGCCTTTGTGATGTAGATGCCTACCTTGCACACGTATAAGACCGAAATGGCGAACGGCCCCCTTCCTCCCCGAGGCGTTGCGTAATTTATGAGCGGCCCCCAAGTTTCTTTCGCTTCATGGCACCCTGAATTTGAACTCTTTACCACGGCCCGGTGTTGCACTTAACCGTTGNGGGGGGGGGGGGCGAGAGGGAGAGGGCGCGCTAACAGTTTCCGTTCGACGGGATGGACGTGTGACGTCACACCGCGCCGTGCCTCATCGCCGGCGGCGGTCGCGGCGCACAGTGGATCGAGAAAGGTTGGACATGCAATTTTTGACTGAAACTGCAAAATTTGATGTTCATTTCGTCACATTTTAAATTTTAAGGGGTGTTTTAAGAAGAAAATTTCTCGAGAAAACCAATGGAGCCACTTTTAGAACCTGAAACTTTTGTATGATCGGAGTTATAAGCTCTTAAAGTTTCCGAATTTTGTCCGACCTATCCTATTGACTCGCTCCACTGTGCGGCGGTGACCGGCACCCGAAAAGGAGAAGCGAGCGCGGTTGATAAAAGGAAAACAGGGCGTAACTCCGGCGGATTTATTTACATTAACGGGGGAAAGATGTTTGAACAAGCATTAAACGCCGATCGGATTCACTGACTTCTCGATGGGATTTTAATTTCGCTTTCGGGTGGGCGCGGGAGGGGCCAGGGGAGGGGGGGCACCGGCAGCCGCGGCCAAAGGAGGGGACCTTGCTTTAATGAGACTCCCTTTTTTCTTAAACGCCGGTTGACTCGTCGGTCCGCGGTCCGGTGCGAACCCCCCTCCCCCGTGGGTCCTCCCTCGGAAATAATAATTTTCCGCTCGACCGAGAATGAGGTTCCAGCTCGTATGAGTGTATATTTAGTGGGTTCGTCCACGTCTCTAATTGTCGACGGCGACGAATACGGAGCTCTCCCGTTTTAGGGGAGAGCGTCGTATGAGCCCTCGTGCGTTGCCGAATTTGCATCGGTAAAACGCGATTTTTTTATATTAACATGATTTATTATTATAATTTTAGTGCGGGAAATCTATCGATAAAACGCGATTTTTTGGAAGCTTGTGTTTTTTTAATTCTTTAGAAAACTCCCCTTGCAAATTAATCTGAAACATATGGAATTTTTGAAAATGGAAGTTCATAAGTTTCCTGAAAAATTAAACTTTTAGTGCGAGAAATTCCATCGATAAAACATGATTTTTTTTCTGGAAACTTGTGTTCTATTTTAGAGAATTCCTCTCGCAATTTAATCTAAAACATATAACATTTTTTTAAAAATGATCCTCATAAGTTTCCTGAAAAATTAAACTTTTAGTGCGAGAAATTCCATCGATAAAACATGATTTTTTTTCTGGAAACTTGTATTCTATTTTAGAGAATTCCTCTCGCAATTTAATCTAAAACATATAACATTTTTTTAAAAATGATCCTCATAAGTTTCCTGAAAAATTAAACTTCTAGTGCGAGAAATTCCATCGATAAAACATGATTTTTTTTTTGGAAATTTGTGTTTACTTTTCCGAGAACTCCCCTCGCAATTTCATCTAAAACATAAAAAAAGAGCTTCATAACTTTTCCTGAAAAATTAAAATTTTACTGGGGAAAATTTGGCAACATTGGAATGCTCTTACGGCGTTTTTCCTCAGAACGGCAGAGGTATCCGCGTAGGGACAGTGAGCCCGCACTGCTTGCCCGGGCAATTCAAACGGGTGTGGCGAGAGTTACGTTTGGGGATTAAACATTTTCTCCGAGGTAGTCAAACTCATCTTTGCGTGGTGATGACTCGTGGATATCGCGTATCCCGGCTTCCGTTTTCTATCGGATTGCCTTTACAGATGTGCGATTCCGATTTTGGCGACGATTACCGGCTATAAAGAGCCTTTATACGGAGACAAAAAGTCATGCTTATAGTCGTTCCTCATGCAGCTTCTGTCCCTCGAGGCCCCATATCGACGGTGCAAGTCTGCAACCACGTATATCAGCTTGAGACGTTGCAGTTTTCCCGTCATACTTCATTTTATAAATGGAAAAATACTCAAAATCAATAATTCATAAAAACAGCCTTGATTTTTCCTCTCTGTTTGAAGAAAATACTGAGGAAATTTCAAAGAATGATTCCGATTTGCTCTCCCCTATAAAGAAAGAAAATAGGAGCGGAAATTTTCAACACCACTGACGAGGTACGTGGTTGAAGACTTACACTGTCGATATGGTTTACTTTGTGATTATTGGCAGTTCAAGGAGACTTAAAACTTAACTCTATTCCGTGGGATCTCAATAGTAGTTTGTTGCTGATCTTTCTCGGGCTTTCTGTGCCAGGCGTTGGATACCACTATTCGAGCTCCTGGGAAGTTGATGTGCCTACCCTGTCAAATGAAGGCGGATTCCTCACTCAACAATCACTGATGAATATACTACTCGTCGAGTAGATTTGTCAGGCTGAGTCTTCGTTTTATAAAATAAATGACACTTCGCAGGCGCAAGGCGCGCAAGTTAGTGACGCAAGGGCGGTACCTCACTCAGTTAAAGAAAATCTAGTCGAGGGTAAAAAGGGTATCGAAGGATCGAAAATAAGGCATCATTGAATTATAAAAATTGAAGTTATCCTCTGGCTTCAGATCGCATTATACATTGACGCACCAACAACAATCGGAGGGATTAAACATTTCATTTCCTTCCCCCTTCCAGTACCGCTGCGGAAAATATATCGAGACTTCATCTCTTAAACGGATATTTTACCCGTTCTTTCATTTCCTGAGCGGGGAAATCGTTCATCCGTGTCGGTGTTGTATATTTCAAGAAATTAATTCAATTGAAGAAATGATACGCGTGTTTTACAAAATCTAAACGTTACTAATAATACGTTAAGGGCGCAATTCTAATAAATTGCAAGGAGAGAGCAGATCAAGCTTCACGGTGCAAATTACTGCAATTTTGGTCTGGTCTAATTGCATTTTAATTGCAAATTTTTGACTGCGTTTACCTTTAAGTTGCTCTAAAACAGATATACTGCCCTGCATAATTGCATTTAAATATGCATCAGCTTAATGGTGATATTGAAATTGGCAACATGCGATTCCAAGTCTGGTGAGGTGCGCACAACATCCTTCTGTCCAGTTGCATCTCCTAGCCCCTTTGGACCAAAAGATATGCAACCAGCATGAAGTCCGTAAAATATTATAATTTTAAAGCAGTAAAATTGTACGTCTTACACTGAAAACTTTGAAAAAGTATAAAAACCAGAAACAGAAGCGGACGATTTATGTGAATTTTCTGTAAAATGATGTGAAAACGAGTGATATTGAGACAAGACCAGTTGAAAATCCCTAAGTTTGCTCAATGTTAGAGGGGAAAAGTGGAAAAAGAGAGGGGAAGATAACTTTACTACTCGAACGATTGTGCATTCATGTTATTCTTGATTTCTTCTTTTTTTGTGCCCACAGAGTTTAAAGTGCGCATTTTTTTTTTTTTTTTTTTTTTCTTTTTCTTTTAAAGAAAAGAAAATATGACATGCAAACGTTCACAATTTACAAATTAGTGCTGTTAATCTGAAGTATCATCTTTAATTACATATCGATGGTTCAAGTGTAAAATCACGTCTGATCACATGTAAATTACTTTACTCAAAATTTACAAATTAGAATGAGGAAGTGGTAGGTTTCCCACCGAAGGCAAACCCGCACGAATACATGCTAAAACGGTTATAACCTGTGATGGATACCTCGTGTTTTTAAAATGGCACAAGGGAACCTCTCGAGAAAAAGGATGCTCAATTGATTAGGTATTCGAAAAAACGGAATATCGATAATTGAGATGCCAAACCCTGTATCTCCATTTTCTATTTCCGTCAAAGTCTATTTTCACTCTGGAAACGTATCAACGTAATTTCTTGGAAACGGCTTGAAACCTTTTATCTATTAGCAGAATCTTCTGTATAAATTTCGAGCTGCAAAGTTGACTTCTTTCGCTTCAAAAAATAAAATAGGAGCGGAAATGTTGAAATACAGCAATAAAGATACGTGATTTTACACTTTAACCATCGATATGTAATCAAAGATGATACTCCAGATTAACAGCTTTTAAATGTTAAGCTTGACCTAATAGGAGAGGTGGGCATGGATTCGGTTGACCCGTAAAAAATATTTAAGGATGGGGGTTGGAGTAGTGGAAAGAGGAGAGAAAGAGAAATATTACTCACTTTTTTACCGTCCATAATCCTTCTCCTTATCACCTGCAATTTATACCACTCCGAGATTTTAATCGTAACTTTTTTCGCATGAGACACAGCAAAATGGAACGTATTTAACAGAGCGAGCGTAGGGAACTCAGACTTCCTGATAGTCTTGGTTTTTTTGACGCTATACTCTTTGATTTTGTCAGAATTTTCGCAGGTTTTCACGGTTCTATACATGCTTTTATAAGATGTTGAGCCTTTTTTCAAAATTTTACGCTCCATCACAGTCATTTGACATGAAAAAATTAGATAGATCCTATGGAAGGATTTCGGTTAGTGTCCATAACATCAGAATGTCGAATGAAAATTTCAAATCAAAGGAGAGGGTTTTGCCAATAACTTAATTAACCTGGATAATTTCTCAAAAAATCTGTAATTTTCTCTTGTTTCAGGAATATTCACGCAGATATACAACAAGAATTTTCTGATGATTGTGAAAACATGTAAGTTTTGCTTTGTTTAAAATTGAAACTTCAATATAGTTTTTTGCATGTGATTCAGATTCAGGATGCTCATTGTTTATGTTGAATGCCAGATGTTTTTGTGGAACGTAGCAAATTCTTCGTGCCATAGATTTCTTATGTGTGATTGAAACAGGGCAGTGTTTACCTGATAGAAGGCGAATATTTTGGAAGACACTTGTATAAATTATTCCTAAATTTATAATGCGTTTTTGCTCCAAAAATTGTACAAAAAACAAAATAAATACAAGAACACATAATGTTATCGTACAAAATTCGGCCCGTTTATGTTTTCACACCGAGCTTTATGTCATGTTTTTCAGCAGGAAGGTCTCCTTCTCCGTAAATGAGTAATCACTGAATGAGATTTCATTTTAACCAGAAAAAATGAACATTTGTTGATTTCTCAAAGGAATTAATCCGAACTATCAGTAGCTGTCTATTTTGACTACATTTTGATTTTTAAAGAAATTTAAAAGTATTTTTCTGGCAATTTTTTGGCACTTTAATGTAAATCCTTTAAAGATTTCTATGAAGAATAATCATAACTTTCCTCAAGAATAAGTTTTTTTTTTCAAAAAATACATTTTGACAACATGCGCGTGTTTATGCGGCGTTTTTCCTTAGCGAATCAGTATATGGAATGGCCAGAAATAGTGGCCCCCAACGCTGAACGTGGTTCATTATTCGTTCCTGGACGGGACTATCTGCTCTGATCCGCGAATACAAAAAGAATATCTTCGACAAAGGCCATCATTTTTAATTTGGACCATCATGTTTTTTTAGTCATCGAAGCATTATTTCTCTTGAATGAAAAGTGTGAAAGGGTGCTTTTTTATTGCGCCGCTTTCCTCTCATTACCTCTCCACCCTGCTTTGTGCCACCGCATCCCCCACTCCTAAAATTGCCTACGAGAATATTTTCCTCAAGCGTCGTCACGAACCGCTTGCTTGCGTCTCATCCTGAACCTCTCTCGGTCTCTTTCGGCTAGGTGATTAATGTCTACTTATCTATTGTTTTATCGATGGTTAAAGCTGAATTTTTTTCTTTCTTTCTCTTCCCACCTCTCTTCCTCCATCCTTCAATTTCTGCCTGCAACGTGGAACGTAGCAGCCTGGTTCTGCAAAATATCGCAAATGAGGAGATCCGATTTGTAGGGCTCTGATTTTGTCGGGTCTTTATGCTCGATTATCGATTTTTTCCTATTCGAATCGGTGGTAAAGAATCGATTATTAAGGTGTTTATTTTAAACACCGTGTTCATCGACCCTTTTCTATAGTTTTGAATGGCAGAACAATCGACATATCGCAAAGCTCGCCACACCAGTGGCTTTTAACCTTACAACAATTTAACAAGCACTTAAGAATACGACAAGATTACGACGGTAATTTTTCACAGTTGAAAGAACCTGGGTACGTTCGTAGGTAACCAACTAAGGTTCGATCAGATTCTGTAGGTTATGAGTGGCTATACACCAATAAGCCATAAGCCATTTTGGTTCCCACAATAAAAGTAAACGCTGCCCGCTGTTAGTACATACCTCAGAATACGGCGTGCGCTGTACACCGTAAGTATTATCCGAGGAATAGATTGGAAAGAATTGCAAGATAAAACCGTTACAGTCAAAACGGAAAGAGCGGGAAGAGGAAAGAACGCGGGCGAGATAAGCGAAAATGGCAAAGCGAATAAGGGTCCGTCGAGGATGTTTCTGTATGTGATAACATTTAAACCATCTGCAACGACATGCCATGCACGCGCTGCATCTTCGCAATGGAGAATTTGCACGCAAATTTTTTATTGCTTCATCTGAAAGTGCTTAAAGAGCTGATTTCACAGTATTTTTTGTAATTTTTTTCTGACATGGGAAATGCTTTAAAAATAGATTTAAAAGAGAGAAAATGCACCGCCTAGTGACGTCATCTGGCGGCATTTCCCATTTAAACACATGTATTTTAGCAGAATCAGTTCTTTTGTCATTTCTCCTCTAATAATTGCTCAATTTATGAATGAAGGGTATCTCAGTGTTCAGTTCACTCAGTAGAATCCACTTAAACACGAAATTTATCAAATTTCAGACCCTTGCAAATTCTCCATTACATTGCTTTAAAATGTCTCCACCGTTTTGTCGAGGCACATTAATTTAGGAAACGCCATTGAAAGGACAGTCCTCAAAAGATGGGAAGAGATCGGTGGGTTTGTCGGAAATGAGAGTGTTCGAGGACAGGAAGCTTTTTATTAAGCATAAATACGATTTGTTGCGATATTGTCAGGTCGCCCGGTCGAGTCGGTCCAATATCCAGTGGCGAGGATTCATTTCCGTTCCACCGACTAAAGTGCCTTTAGCCTTTAAAGGGAGAGAATCTATTTCTTTACCGAAAAAAAAGTGAAGTTGATTAAACATTCTGGATGTAAAAGAAATTTGCGAGAACTTATAAAATGCTAAATTACCCGTTACAGCAGTTGCTTTAGCAATGCCAAGATGTAAAACTAACTGCTGTGTGCGTTTTATAAGTTTTCCCGCACTTTTTTTTTACATCCAGAATATTACATCAACTTCACTTTTTTCCGTGTGATTGAATCAGTCATCTCAGGCTTTATAAGACTTTCAAAAACCAAGAAAACAGCCACCCAAGGCTAGAGAGTTTAATATCGAAGCATGCGCACTGATCTGCAACTTGCTTGAGAACCAATTTATATTCACGTCCTGGGTAAAAAGACAGGTATAAAAGTTGGCACTAATGTTCAGACGTTTGCAAGAGAAAAGTTCCAGGATTATTTTAAGTATACCTCTAGGTGTCGGCGTGAATGCGATACGATTTCCCGCACTGCACGGGTGTTATTCGAGGATGGACGGCGAGATCAAAAAGCAGTGATAAAAAAGAATGTCTCGACCGTTCAGCTGAGTATCTAGTGCACTATCTCCGCGTTCTGCATGAATTCTCTCAATAAGCTTTTTGAATATGACCTGATATATTTTACTGTGTGCCGAGGTGATTTTGCTATTAACGATAACGTTGCATGACTCGTGTCAGAATTGGGATTAAAACATAGAGTGCACCATATTGAGGCTAGATATCCTCAAATTTTAGGTCTTTTTTTTAAAAAAAATATGTAAATAAACTATTTAACGCACATTATCATGATAATAATTGATTTACTTTAAATTCTTCTTAACGACGTTAGTGGGTAGGTCTTTTTTAAGTTTTTTCTTTTTTTTTTTGACCGACAAACAAAAAATTTCAACAATCAGGCTGCTGCTTATGGAATTCTAGTATACTTGTGGCAATGCGCGTTCAAATGCCGCACCGGCTCGACAACAAGATGGCGGATAGGGGCCTCAAATATGTAGGATGGATTTATCTGATACACCTTCCTTTAATGCTCCTGATAGCAAAGAGTGGAGGAAGATCATCGTTTCTATATAATCATTTTTTTAAAGGTACTGTAGTTTTCTCAAAATTGATAAGTGAAATTTTGGTGAGGCAAGATCCTTCACTCGACGTGTCTCATCTTCTTCGGGGAACTTAAAAACGCGTTTACGTAGAAAACGGTCGAGCGTTTCTCTAACGCGAACGTATTGCAGCTTTTCCGCCTGTTAACTTCTCTCCCGAATCAAGGCGACGCACCTAATTGGCAGCATAAACCGGAGAACTGCGAGTTGACGCCTCGCGCCATCGCTCCTTCAATTTTGCAGATGCAACACGGACATCCATCAAGCACGAATAGTTGTATCTCTGCGCCTTCGTCGACGCGCGTCGTTTTCCTTGCTCTATTTTCGTATTATGACGGTTCCGTTTGTCCTATTTGTGGTGGTGCCTCAAGGGCTACGTGAGCCACGCAGGATCGCTACGCTGCCGTGCTGTAAGGAAGAACGCCGCATGAATCACCAGGCGTTGCCAAATTTCCCTCGACAAAATAAGAATTCTCAGGAAAATTCGTGAATATTTCTCTTCGGATTTTTCAGAGGGTTTCGTTCGTAATTTCATCTAAAAAGTCTGAAGATTTCAAGGAAACATATTCATGATTCTCCTCTAAAATGAAGCTTTTCTAAGAAGAAATTCGGCAACTCTCGAATGTTCATATCGACGGTGAAACTACCGAACCACGTATCTCGGTATGCGACGTTGCAGACTTCCTGCCATACTTTATTTTTTAAATAGAAAACTACTCAACGTCAATTCGTGAAAACTTCCGCGATTTTTCCTCTTTGTGCGGAGAAAAATCTGTGGAAATTGTAAGGAATGATATTGATTTGATCTCCTTCAAAAAAATAAAATGTGAGTGGAGATTCTAAACACCGCAAACGAGATACGCGGTCTGGTAGTTTCACCGTCGATATGGCGTTTTTTCTTAGCATAGCAGTACAGATATGAACCTGCGAGAGGGAATTATCATCTTTTCAACTCAAAAATAACAAGAGACAACAGAGATCTCTGAGAAAATCATCTAGAGGCAACTGTACGTATGGAATTAGCGCTTGCTTCCTCGAAAGAGCCCTCGCTAAAGAAAGAGGTGGGAAGGAAGGGCTCAAGTTTTCAACCCTATTTTAAAGTATGAAAATTTTACAAGATCTGAGTTGATATTAATTTCATTCATAAGATTTTCATTAGTGACGTTAATAATTGAATGTGCACTAATGAATAGCGGCGTGAAATTTGGCGAGGACCTTTTTTGCCTCGCATCCGGGGTAAGTGCTCGCGACAGGCTACCGAGCTCTTCGCCCCCATGACGGAATTCAATCTGACAGCATCTCTCATTGTTATTTAGCGCTGCGTAACACAAAATAATCAGAGATTTTTACTGCTTTACAGCTTCAGTTCAACGATAGTTTTTAATCGGGGAATTTTGAACCATTCAACATCATCATAGTCATCATTTTTTGTATGCACTCGTGGTTTTTTTCGTAAAATTTTGCGAAAGAAAACAAAGAAGAGAAAGACGATTTGAAGAAGTTAGGAAAAAGGAGAAAAAGAGAAACGTAT